AGCAGCAGCAGCAGCAGCAGCTGGAGGCTTCGTCCCCGGGGACCTACCTGAGCCGGAGCCGCAGCGCCTGGTACTCGCAGTACGGCAACCAGGCCATCCTGGTGCGGGACAGAAGCAAAGCGGAGGTCGCCAGGGACACCGGGCAGTCCCGCTTCTGCTCCGTGATGTGAGTCTACCGCCGCGGTAAATCCCGGGGCCCGGTCAGCGCCTCCCCGGCATTGATGGACGCTTGGGGTGTAGGAAGTGCCCCAGAGCTTCGTTTCTCTGCAGAGCTGGCTCTGTGCTCCGACCGCGGCCATCCGGCTCTTCGGAAGGAAAAATAAAGGTGCAGTTCATAGGACCAGAGTTACAGCGGACCCTGGAGCCACCTGGGCCGATCCTGGTTCAGGGCAGGGGCTGCACAGCCTCTGCCCCAAGTGGCCGTCCCACCGGCGGACAGTAGGTGGAGGCAGCAAGTTCCTAACTCTAGCCTGAACCCACGTTTTGCAGCGTCTTTAGAGGAGGGTTACTTTGGAGTAGGGCTGTACTGCTCCAGGCAGAAGGCTGCATTCAGATGTTTTCCCCCTGGACAGGAACAGTGGCTTTGGGTGAGCCAAGCGCAGACAGCTGCCTGCTGGGAGGAACGAGGGGAGCCCCAGTGGGGCAGCAGCTCATATTCCTCCCCCCATTTTACAGGCAAGCAAACCCCTGAAGGGATTCCCAGCCCTCCTACTTGCTCCTGGACCTTTCCACAGAAATGGGGGGACGAAAGGAGACTTGGGGCACATGCAGGAAGAGGCTACCCTTTCCAATGCCCTCAAGGCCGTTCCCAGCATCCCTAATGTGCTGGCTGAGATTGATGGGAGCTGTAGTCCAAACTACCTAGATTGGGTGAGAGAAAGAAATTTAGCCCCTTTCCTGTGAGGTCCTGGTTGGGGAAGCCTGAACCCTGCTCCACAGGAGTTTCCTCTTGGACCATGGGGTAAATCTGGACCCCAGTCCTGGTCCTCAAAGCCGTGCCCTGAAGTTTGTTTTGAACCCAGGGCAAAGTTGGGTGGCGCTGCTCCTTGGGAAACAGATTCTGTGCTACTCTGCAGGTCTCCTCCGGCGTCCCCCACCATGCAGGACGGAGCTGTTCCAGAGCTGTCTCTGGCGCTTCCTTCTGGGCTCCGAAGGTTCCTGCTGTGACGATGATTCCCAGAGGCCCTGACAGGCGTGGGGAGAAACACTGCAGCGCTCAGTCCAGGGGCTTCCTCTCTGCTGCTTGCCCTTGTGCGTCGGCCCCCCTTCGTGTTCCTCGCAGGCCAGGCCAGCTTCTCCGCTGGTTGCCGACACCCTCACTGGTAAGCTCCCGATTCCACAACCAGGGAATATCGCTGATGGGCAAAACTCGCTTGCTGAAATCTGGCCTGCAGATGGATGGGTGTGCCATCCCTTCCAAAGCCTCTGGACCACCCCGAGAGACAGAATCCACACAAGAGCTTAAACAGCGACATCTCCACACTCTCGGGTTTGGCCGCAGCTTGCAGTTGTTGGCTGAGCCGTGAGCTGCTGGTTTGCAGGTACAGGGCAAAGGAGCCAGCTGGGCTTAGATGCCAGTGGGAAAACTCTGCTTGCACAGAAAATGAGACTTGACCTCCAGCTGTCAGGCCCCGATGCCGATGGCAGGGTCCCCAGGTTAGCCATCCCATCCAGGCACGCAAGTTGCCAAACTTGGTTCCAGATGACATGGTAGATTGGGACGTCCAGGAATGGCTTGATAATCCAAAACCCACTTTGAATGCCAGTTCCAAGTTCTGGGCTTCCCAGATGGCTTTCCTTGGGGCCTGGAGCAGCTGTAACTATGACTGTCAGAGAGTGGCACCTGCCCTTGATCTGAAGGTACAGCTTGGCTTCTGGTGGGAGAACTGGGTTCAAATAGCTCCATTCTGTGAAACAACCCCTTGCGGATCGGGGCCGTCAGCTTTCTTCAGTCAGCCGCAGCATCTGCTTCTTGTGCGTATTTTACCCTTGGTAAACAATTATCAAATTATCAGTGGCCCTTTCTCCTTTCGTTTGGACACTCCATGATGCCCCCAAATATCTGCCTCCAGCGAGGTAGATCCTTGTTCGCTGGAAGGAGCGAGTTTTCAAGGTGCCCAAAGCGCTCTGGCTGCGGAGCTGCTGTGGCGGCTGCACCGCTCAGTCCGCCTGGGACTTTGGTGAGGGCGATGAAGTTCTGGATTTAGTGGCCCAAGGACGGCCAGCTCGACCATTCTTGGAATTTTTTCTTTAACCAGCTGCCCAGAATCGTGGCCTGCAGATTGCATCCGTCAATAAAATACAATTTAGCACCCGCTTCTGCTCCCAAGCTTTGTGTCAAGTCAAGTACAGAAGGGGCATCTGCTCTCAAACGGGTCTTTGTCGCTTTATTTTTTTTCCAAACTGTTCTACTTTAAAACAAGATACAGAGAAAAAGACCGACGTGGGAGAAGACTAGGAATATACAAATAAAACATGCTTTATCTGGAAGTTACCAATACCTGTAAGTCCAAAGTCTATACAAAAAGAAACCAAAAGAATCCCAAACAATCCCATTTCCCCAAAACTGAATACACATACAAGGAATAAGCACCAGAACAGGAAACTATCAAAGATCCATAGCACCTGTTGGTTAAAAAGTCAAATACATTTAAATTAAAAGGATTCCCAATTTTTTTTCAGAGCTTAGTTTTAAAAACAACACAAACCTACATTTTTTCTCTGCTCTTCAAAACGCAGGATACATTTTAAGTGACCACTGGAGTTAATAAATAAAGTATTTCTATGTACATGAAAAAGGATAATCAATTCCCGGTGTGTCATGTGCAAAGTGCAGGTCTCCAGGGCAGGCTGGAGAAAAAAATAGCTTTTAAAAAATGGATGAACCTTACAAAAACATCACTTGCCCACCCCTCCCCTTCCCTTCCCCAAAGCATATTCTCCCACCATACCTTGAGGTAAAAGTTTTGATTATTTGGAGACCTGCACTTGCACGACACACAAGCTCACCTTGCGAGAAGGGAGGCCTGGCCCACGGTTTGGCGAGGGCACCAGCTGCGGAGCCTTCCTGCTGTCCTGGGACTCAGGGACTCCTTTCGGCGGATCTGGGGCAGCCCCTTTGCCTCCAGAGAAGCCGCCCTGCTGCTTGGAGGGGAACTCCGCATGGGAGCCTCCCCCCTCCAACACAAGGCTTAGAACGGAAGCTCAGGGTCCCACCTGCTGCTTGACCGGGAGACCCCCAAGCAGTGAGGCTAACCAGGCCCCCTCCTCTGGCAAACAGGGAGAGGAACCGGGGTGCTATGCCTTCCTACCCCCCGATGGGCCAACAGGCGATGCCATCCTGCGCAGGCAGACGCAATGCCTTGCCAATGGGGGCTGGGGACCAACCCATGGCACCTCACCCCGTGCTGTGCCCAGGGAGTGTGATGCACCCAGGTCGCAGGCACTGCCTTCAACAGGTCAGACACCTCTGGAGAATTTTTCGCAACAGGAGCGTGAATCTCTATATTGATTAAAAAAAGGTAAAAGAAATATCTAAAAAGGTAAGCTTTAAAAAACAATCCACAGTACATGAGCTTTTTCTTCCCTCTTATCTATTAAAAAAAAAGATTACGATCTTCATCCCAATGGAGAAAGCGTGCCCCTGCCAGGCTGCAGTCGGAGGTTCGGCAGACCAGAGCGCAGGAGGTTTCGGGTCTCCGTGGCCGTCCTTCCATTGCCGGCCTCTTCCTGCTACAGTACCATCCACTGAGGGTCCTCCCCCCTCCAAGATCCCTCCCCCCGTCACCTCAGGTCCTGGCAGGAAGGATCAGAGTGCCGGGGTGGCCAAAGGGAGCCTCCCGGAAGGGCAAAGCTGCCCATCTCCGCGTTCAGGCCACAGGCGGCCAACGCGTTGTTCGTGGAGTTCTCCTTCGGCATTTCAGCATCTTGGGTTAAAAAAGGGTTTAGAGACTTTAAGTGATGCAAATGATTTGCCACCAAGTCTAGTCAGACGTTTGACCTAATAAAAGCAGGAGGAAACTCTTCAGAGGAGGTGTCATTCTGTAACACTGAATCCTTTAAAAATGCTTTAAAAGAGTGGAAAACGCAGACTTGGTCATGATGGAAGAGAGTAACCATTAGAAAAATAAAGCGAGGGAACGCTGCAAAGCTTCAGGTCCAGGCAGGCGAAGAGTCCCCGGTCATTCTGAGTCGCTGCTGTCCGAACTGGATCCGCTGGAACTTGTGCTCCCTGATTCGGAGCTGCTGCTGCTGCTGAGATGAGACGGGCCCCCCGATGGGGCAGAGCCAGATTTTTCTAGCAAGCAGGAAAAGGGGCAGACGTGAGTGGTCAGCTGAGCCTCAGCTCCCACCCCAGCTTCCCTTCCGGCCCCGCCTTCCAGCCCCCCCCCCCGTACTTCCCTGCTGCAGCTCAACACTGCTGCCAGAAGCGGCCTGGGAGCCAGGCTCTGCTGGAGGGGTGGAATCATAGCTGTTCTAATGCAGATTTGGGGGAATCACAGTTGATATTGAAAAGGATGGCTCAGTCCTCAGATGGGAGACCACCAAGAGATCCCAGGGCTGGGAAGCCCAGAAGCTGCAGTTGCAAGTCACGAGCCCGACTTGTAGGCAACTTGATGTTTCAACAAATACTTTTTGAAACTCAAGCTGATAAAGTCCCCCTGGATTAATCAGTTACACCCAAATGACAGGCAGGTGGGGCCGGCCCTGCCCAGTAGGCCGGTCACTAACAGTGTGCTAGGATGTTCTCTGCAGCATAGCTTGGAAGTGCACAAGCAGGCAGAAAAGCTGAGCGGAAGAGCAAGGAAGTGTTGTGCCCGCGGGAGCCGGGGGAAGAGGCATGGATGCACTGGGTGAGGGAGGACGAGGAGGAACCTGGAGAGAGACTGGGGGTGGTGGCCACAGGGAGGGAAGCAAGACCCTTCCCCTGAATACCGCATGGCAGGGACAAAACGGCTCTCAGCTTGACGCGGGAGCTGGATTTCGCCAAAAAATGGTGGTCCCCGCCAAGAGACACAGGCTCGGTCGCCCTTCAGAATCCCTTCATCTCCGCCACCGCCCTGCTGGCCCCAAGCCTTTCTCCGGGGTCGTCTCAGGCAGTGCTCTCTGTCCTCTCCCCCTTGACCACGAAAGGCACTTTACAGGGCCGGGGCTCCTCTGCTCTGTCCCCCCTCCCACACTGGCCTTCGGAGGGGTACTTCCTTGCCCCCCCCCCCCCGTATGAAGAATACTGGCAGTCCTGCTGCCAACTGCCTGTCGCTGCTTTTTCCGGGAACCGCCAAGCAGCCAAGGCTGGGTAACGAGGCATGGGCGGAGGAAGGCCTGTCTTCCCTCGTCCCGAACAAGCACACGCTTCAGAGACCCCCAACGTCAGGCGCCCTGAGCCAAAGAACTCAAGGCCTGGAAGGCATCAGTCGATCCTCCTCTCCCAATCCGGTGGCTGGGTCCCGCTGGTGTGCCATGTTCTAGAGCAGGGTTTTACAACTTTTCCAGGCCACGGAACCTGTTAGTTAACACATTTCCTGGAACTTTGTTCATGAAGAAAAACTCTAGCGGCAGAAGACAAGCCGCCTCTGAGGGAAGGTTCCTGGACCTTCAGCCTCCCGCGAACCCTGTGGGAAAAACCCTGCTCCAGACCGACCGGGCATCTGCAGCGCGGGTGCGTGGGCCGCCAGGGCCAGGGTCCTGGAGCCTCTTCTCCAGAGCAGCTGCCTGGCCGTGCGGGAGGGACAAAGGCCAGCCAGAGCAGGAGGGGGGCTGCCCTCCCCTCCGCCCTATCGCCCAACACGGCCAGGAACAGCTCACCTTTCTTGGCCGGCTTCTTGTTGTTGCTCAGCTGCCCGCTCACGTCCTGCAACCGCTTCTCCAGCTCTTTCTTCTTTTCCTGAGCCATCTCTTCCTTGGACTTGGCCGCTTGTTTCTTCCCACTTGCAGCTGGGGGAGAAAAGCAGAAAGGATGCGATGGGGAGAAGAATCAGGAACTTACCCCACGCCAGGTCACAATGTGCAGAGCCAGATGGTCAATCGATCTGCATCAGAACAACAGGCTGCCCTATTTTAAGCATTCTGTTAAGTGTTTTCCTGAAGTTGATTTTGGACCGTGGTCCAGATGGCAAGGACCTGGGCTGCCACGCTGCGACAATGCCATGGGCACAGAGGAGACAGGAGGGTTCATGTGCGAGGGGAGCGATGCCACAGAAGCAGCAGAGGAGAGGGTGGTGACTCGGCTCTGGGTGCCCAGGCTTGAATTGAGCAGGGCAGGGGGTGGGCAGGGGTGTCGCTGCGATGTCCGCAAAGGCGGCAGAAGCAGAGTGAAGCCACTGGAAGTGAATCACCAAGTCAGAAGCTGCCAGGGCCAAGAGCCCATCCTTGCGGGGCGTGGAAACCTCACCCAGCTCTGCAGGCGAGGGGCAGGCCTTACTGAGGCCCTTCAGTGGGCCCAACCTGAGCGGCCAGAAGGAAGTCAGGATAGGAAGGGCTGGAACCCAAGTTCTACCTGCCTGGAAGGGACAGAGGTCTGTAGGCCAACCCTACTCCAGGAAGGAATCCAAATTACAGAGCCTGCTGAACCCATCCAGCCAAAAGGGAAGCCCACCTCTTCCCTCGTGTTTGGCCCTTCCCGGAAGGAAGTTTTCCTAACAGTAGCGCCTGCTTTTCCATCACTTAAGCCCATCATTCCATCCATCCCCTGCACTCTGTAACGTAAAGGGTAAAGAGAACCCATCTTTTCCTTCTTCTTCATGACATCCTTTCAAGTACTGGAAGAGGATCATCATCCCCCAGCCTCAGTCCTCTAGGCTCCAGCACAGAGCCATCTTCAGTCTCCCTTCACCGGACTAGTCTCGATTTGTGGGACCCCCCTTCCCCAAGGGTATCTGCCCGCCCATGTGGTTGAAGAGAATGGGCAGACTACCAGGTCCCTTCCCTTAAATGTGGCCATCTAGCAGGACCTAGGAAGCATGCCTTCTCTGTGGCAGCCCCTTCCCCCAGAGATCTGGCAGCCTGTTATCCAGGAGTTCTCCTGAGGGTCTGGCCGGACCCCTGGCTCCTTCGCTCGATGTCTCACACTGCACAAATGTCATCCAGAGGAACAGGGTGAGAGGATAGATAAAAAGCCTGGAGTTCTGGAAATGAATGGCAAGAATCTGCTTAGAAAAACGTCCATTTCTTTCCATTCATATTTGGTCCATTCATATAAACACAAGGAAAATGGATGAATATAAATCTAAAAGCATGTCTGATTTAATTGTTTATTACGCACTGAGAGAATTTAAGGACAAGAGGTTCTGGACTTGGTGTCAGAAGTGGACCTTGGGAAAAAATGGACAAAAACGAAAAAGAAAGGGAAGAAAGGAGAATGACTGCAGGAGGAGAAACTGTAATTCCTGGAAGACAGAACAAGTGGAAACTAGATGTAAGGGAAGAGGATGTGGAAGCTGCTTGGAAAACAATGAAAAACATTAGGTTACAAAGACACAGAGAAGTGCATGAAATTATACAAGTGGGAAGCACGAAACAGGATGCTTATGGAATGATGAGTGAAAAAGGTTGCGGGTGAGAAAAAGTGGCATATGAGTTGCTACAAAAAAAAGATGATACCGTATTTGTGTGGAAAGAGGAAAAGATGACTTGAGATGAAACTGAAGTGAAGGAGTAGGGAAGGAATATTTTAGAGAGAGGTATGGGTATTGTAGAGATTTGTCAAAGAGCAAAATTGAAATCTGTATTATAATTGTTAGAATCCAAGGAAAAATGATGGAAAGTAAAACATGAGTGTTAAAAATCGTAAGGCTGGGGATGTTGATGGTGTAACTGCAGAAATGTTAAAACGGGAATGTAGGGGGTGGCTGTGGGCTTTTTTTATTCAAGTGGAGAGGCTGCCCCTGGGTCTGACAACTGGGAGAATGTCATTAATGTGCTATATAAAGGAAAGAGCGTCAGAGCAAACAGAGGTGCAGGGAGCAAACAGGAAGCAAACACTACAAGGCGACCAGTTTGTTAAATGTACCTGGGAAGGTATTTAGCGGCATTTCGCAAAGTGCAAATGTGGCTTAGTGCCAGGCCACTTTAGCATGTCAACAAGGAAAGTACATTGGCTTGAATTACAGAATATTTTGTACAAACATGGAGTTGAAAGTTGGTTGCTGAGTGTGACAAGAGAACAGTGATATGTGATGGAAGTAAAGCAAGTATGAGAATAAATAGGAACGCTAGTCAACCGTTCACACTGAGCAGAGAGTAAGGCAACGGTATGTGACATCCCCTTCATTGTTGTTAGTCTATTTACTGATAGATGACAAGGAACGCTTGAGGTCATTTCAGCAGTATGTTGCTTGGGGATGTGTGTACATTTCTGTGCAGATGCTGCTGTGTTGTTGCTCGAGAACCCAAATTGTTGTTGTTGTTTAGTCGTTAAGTCGTGTCCGACTCTTCGTGACCCCATGAACCATATTGCGCTCAGTGGTTGGGGCATAGACTTGGATGACTGTGATATTGAATGGTTTGCCTTGGATACGCACAGAAGGTGTTGTAGGTCTTCATAGAAGCGGTCAACTTCAGCTTCTTCAGCATCAGTGGTTGGGGCATAGACTTGGATGACTGTGATATTGAATGGTTTGCCTTGGATACGCACAGAAGGTGTTGTAGGTCTTCATAGAAGCGGTCAACTTCAGCTTCTTCAGCATCAGTGGTTGGGGCATAGACTTGGATGACTGTGATATTGAATGGTTTGCCTTGGATACGCACAGAAGGTGTTGTAGGTCTTCATAGAAGCGGTCAACTTCAGCTTCTTCAGCATCAGTGGTTGGGGCATAGACTTGGATGACTGTGATATTGAATGGTTTGCCTTGGATACGCACAGAAGGTGTTGTAGGTCTTCATAGAAGCGGTCAACTTCAGCTTCTTCAGCATCAGTGGTTGGGGCATAGACTTGGATGACTGTGATATTGAATGGTTTGCCTTGGATACGCACAGAAGGTGTTGTAGGTCTTCATAGAAGCGGTCAACTTCAGCTTCTTCAGCATCAGTGGTTGGGGCATAGACTTGGATGACTGTGATATTGAATGGTTTGCCTTGGATACGCACAGAAGGTGTTGTAGGTCTTCATAGAAGCGGTCAACTTCAGCTTCTTCAGCATCAGTGGTTGGGGCATAGACTTGGATGACTGTGATATTGAATGGTTTGCCTTGGATACGCACAGAAGGTGTTGTAGGTCTTCATAGAAGCGGTCAACTTCAGCTTCTTCAGCATCAGTGGTTGGGGCATAGACTTGGATGACTGTGATATTGAATGGTTTGCCTTGGATACGCACCCTGTCCGTCTTGGGTGGCCCTGCACGGTATAGCTCATGGCTTCACTGAGTTCCAGCAAATATCAGACTGTATGATGCAACAACGAATATGGAACTGAAAATTAATTATCGAAGACCAAAGTAGTTGTGTTTGCAAAGAAAATGGAGTGAATGATCCAAGGTATACATAAATGGTGAAATACTAGTAGATGAATTTGTGTACTTGTTTAGTACAGATGGGAAAATGGGTGGAGAAATTTTACAATGTACACATGCTGCTAGAAAGTTAGTGGGCAGTATATGGTCTGTTGTGAAGAATGTGAAAGAAAGTGAAAATAAGAGTGAGTTTTTTCTGACTTTGTTATATGGAAGCAAGGGGTCATGGGAAATCCAAGTTGCAGTGGGAATGGGGTACTTAGGAAGTGTGTTTGGTAAAACAGAAATAATGAATGGGTATGAATCAATGTGGACCAAATACAAAAGTGAATGACCAGTTCAAAAGAAACTCACTAAGGTGGATGATCAAAGAGGGAGAATGGAGGAGAATGGAATTGCCCTATAAGAGGGAAGAGTGGATGAGTTGAGAGGCAGGGGAAGACTGGAAAGGTATATGGGGTGGAGCTGATGTGCCTAAAAGAGAGAGATGAGAAACGTAAAGAAGAAATGAGAAACATAAAGGGACGTTATAAAGAAACATAGAGAGAGATGAGAAACGTAAAGAGCAAAAGACAACATACGGATGTCCTGGATGAGTGTACTACAAGGTAGCTGGCAAGAACAGGAACACATGGAGAGAACAGCTAACTGTGTTGGTGTAAACATGATTTAGATATTTCCTCCCTTTATTTGGTTTCCTCTTTCTTAAATCTTTTCTGCCCTCTGCCCAACACTGTGATTGCTGAGAGGAAATAATCACTTGATGGGAAGACATGTATCCCTGGCCGACTGCAAGAGCCCCTCCTGGGCCACTGGAGAGAGCTCCAGAGCGAAGAGAGAGAAGAAAGGAAGACACCAAGACTGAGCCAAATTCTCATTCGTCAGAAAAGGCATCTTCTCTAAGTGTCCGTTTCCTGGAGCCTCCCAGGAAGTCCAGCGTTCTGTTTCTCTCGTCTCCCTTACTGGGCTGCCCCAGCGCACTCTTGTTCAGGACCTGTCTGCTGAAGGAACCCTTGGCCAAGACTTGTGAATTAAGCTTGTGATGCCTCACCAAAGAAGAGATCAAGGACAGCCCTGGCATGTCACTCTTCGCTGGGTGGGACCACACCAGGCCCTGATACCTCTTGTGACCCTCAGGAAAAAGCCTTGTCACTGAAAGAGGCTCCCTGGGGCGAGACAAAGTCAGAGCTGGCCTGGCACAGGTCCTTGGTTCTGTCTAGACAGTTTGACATCTCTTCAGACATCCAGCTTGTGCCAATGCTTCCTGAGGGGGTGGCTGGTATGGCTGAGTGGGGTGTGGTACACCCTGAGATAGGACAAAATTACACAGTACTTGTCTGATCACTTTGAGCTCCAGGATGTTTATGCCATGTTTGGAGTCTCTTGGTCTCCAGTGCCCTTAAGCTGTGCACCCCCTTGGCCCCAGGTGCTGGCACTGATGGGGCCTAGGATTGGTGGAGAAGTAGCCTTGGACATCCAACACTTGAAGGACTGTTTCAAGTGCTGGCTCAGGGAACCATGGCTCATCTCCCTGTTTCCAGAATGCCATCACAGGACTCTCAGGACATCCGTGAACACTGGCTCGATGGCAGACTAAAGGGGAGAGCAGTTGTTGGAACTGACCACCCAGGTATCTAAATCTCAGAACGTCCAACATGACGGATGACTGGCCATATGGAGGTACTCTGTTTAAGGAGGCTGGCAGTCCCTGGCTTTGGAGGCAACCTAAATGGACATTAAGACCTCGAGCGCTGCGTGCCCCCAACTGACCTTTCTGAAATCCAGAATGCTGTCTGGGGACGCTGTGAAGAAAAGCAAATAGCACCCTCTGAGAATTCCTCTGCCTGCAAGTCTGTCTCCGTGGCTTAGATAGCAAGCAGAGGGCCAGCAGCCAGATGTGTCAAGGACACCTTCTAACTCTGCCGTGACAGGGTGTGAGAGGGGCGACGCTGGCCTCAGAACTCTATGGCGTGACTGCAGGAAGCTGTGCAAAGCACCGAGTTCATGTGGGCTGATGGAGAACCAGCGCTGGGCAAATAGATCAGCCCGGCCTTCTGCTGACGGATCTTGGTAGCGCCTGCAGCTCGGGCCCTCCGTTCAAGTCCAGCTTGCCTGGTCAATGGGACACCAACGGTAGAACTGCTTTCGTTTGTTCCTCTGCTTACTTTAATCCAAATCGTTTCTACAGCATCACCATTGGATTTCTGAGGGCACTTTTAACACACAGTGGAACTCTTCCTTCCCTTCTTTCGCTGCTGCTCCTTTTGAACACATTTATCCTTCTGCTGCTACAGCCGAACCATGGGACTCATGTATTATTTATGCAGAATATCAGTTACTTGAGGATTCATCTGCTCATCCCAACAGGTTTCCATCAAACCATTACCTTTCCCTTCCTATACTAAGAGTTCAGGCTCATTTTCCTCGCTGCCCACTGTCTCCTCTTTATTTATGTGCTCCTTTGTAGATTTAGATCGCACCTTCAGGAGCTCAAGGCAGGGTATGGAGCGCCCTCCACCACAGCTGGTGAGGTGGGCTGCACTGAGAGAGGCTGAGCGACTGGCCCCAAAAGCCCCAGGGAGCTTCTGTGCTGAGGGTGGACCTGGGTCTTCTCAGTGCCTCCACCCTCTTAAGCAGTGCACAACAGGGGATCCCTTTAGCAGCCAGTGCGCTTTCTGAAGCTTCATCGAGCGGCTTAGAAGACCTCATTAGACCAACCCTTCCTCTTCTTCTAGAGGACACAAGCCCTTATCTGAGGTTCTTACGTTTAGGTTTTTGTCTCCAGTTCCAACAAGGGGCAGTTTAGTCTTTGCAAGATGCAACAGTTCTCATGCCAGCAGTCTCTGATCCAGAGAGCTCAGGCCACGGTCCCAAAGTCAAACTGTTTCTGTCGACACAAAGGATAACCAACCATTCACCCATAGTAAACTTTTCTCTTTCTAGTCCTCTTTCATGGCCTGAAAAAAAAGGGTGGGTTAGAATCCCGCCTGAGTCCACAGGGTCTTGACTGTTTTCCTAGATCTCCGTGGTGCCATAACTGTAGCTGTTCTTGCCAAATCCACATGGATTAGCAGGAAGGAATAATGGTCAGTGGACCCGCTGAGTCTTGAAAGGTGGTCTGTCCATCCCTGATCCTGGCTCCTAGCAGCCAGCATACTTTACTGATCTGACGGGTCCAGCTGGCACACGTCTGCGTTGCTTCTTCGCAACAGCAACTCAGTACCTGCCATCCTTCTTCTTCTTGCAGGGCGCAGCCTTCGGGGATCCATCCATCCACCTCATTTCTTCTTCTTTGCTTTTTCTTTTCCAGAGGTGCTGTCTTCTGTGACAACCTGGAGGCTGTTTCTGAGTTCCAGCAGCGCAGAATATCTTTTTTGCCCCTGCTTCAGGTCGTCACACGTATCAGCTGGGCTCCTTGCTTGATTCGTCTTTCTCATGGAGAGTTGCTTCCTCTATTAGTTCCTGTTGTAGCACTTTCTTTTTTTAAATCTGAAATTTTTACACTTTCTTATCAGGCCAATTCCCTACTCCAGTTCTCTGGGTTTCTTTGCTTTTTTCCCCAAGCAACACCATAAGCTTGCACTTGCTGCAAATACAGGCCAGGTTTTCAGACAGGAACACAGATGTACCACAAGCACTGCAGGCCACGACTACAGAGACCCACCTGGCTGTCTTTACTTTCTACTACACTGTCCAAAAGGAATGCCTGTGTTTCCTTTTGGTACCCTTTCAGGCTCTCAAGCTTGCCAAATATAGGCGGTTCCCCTAGAGGGAATACTTGTTAGGGACCCCCGCTCACCTCCTGGGCCGTACTCCACTGGCAAAGGCCCTTGCTTTTCATGTCCTTCTCAAGGACAACGTTCATAAAAAGTTAAATGCTCAGTTGCATCTAGTAAATCAGCGCTGATCCATAATTTAATCATGGGAAAAGGGAGCAACCTGACATACAACACTGAGACCAAGGTGAATCAGAACCGTGAGGTCCCTGGGGCTGTCAGCTGACTACCATTCAGAAATCAGAAAGGTCTTCTTCCTGCGTGTGTGTGAGAGATTAGTCCTACTGTCTTTGCCATCACTGATGGCAGCTCTTCCCAACCACAGGATAGCAGCCAAGCACATGTGCTCTCCACCGAAGGAAGATGCAATGGGGAAGAGGGTGTGCTACCGCAGGGAAATGAAGTCCACCAAGCTGTTAAAAGTAGATCATCCTCCAGCACGATCTGCCCTCGCAAAGCACTCTCCCAGCTGGGGAAGGGAGGGGACTGTGGCCCCCTCAGCAGACAAGAAACCCTGGTGAAGCGCCAAAGATTTGGGCTGCCTGTGGCTCATTGTTGAGACAGAAGAGTCATCTGAACACTGTGACCAGCTTATAATGCCCGCTGATTTTTTTTATCCCAGAGATGGGCAAAGAGCAGAGAGAACAGCGTTCTATCACTGGAAAAGGACAGGAGTGTTTCCAAGCAGACCTGGGGGTGGTTCAGAGTGGAACAGACAGCCCTGCTTCAAGCTACTGTAGCCCCTCCCAGAGGAATGCCCTGGGGAGCGGTGCTCCTGGCTATAATTTTTCCTGATCCAGCCCATCTTGAACCTGATATTTCTTTGGCTGGCATCTCTCCCACACCAGATGTGCTGCTACCTGCTGATGGACCTCATTTATCATTCATTTCTAAAACACTGTAGCTGGAAAGCATATAAAGAGGGGAGCAGTGTTTTGATTTTTTCCCTTGTCCAGCTGAAAGTGACTAAGCACCGTATGAAACAATGAAGCATCAGATGCTTTAAGACACGCATCTCTTCTCTTAAAGCACAGCCTTAAGAGCAGAGCCGGGAGAGACGCGTCACCGTTTCTAAGGTGCGAGGAATCCCACTTACAAAACGGCTTCCGTTGCTTTTTCTGCAAACAGGACTTGACGTATCTCTCAAGTTCCCGCAACGTTGTGGGCTTCAAGGTTTCAAAATCGATCTCGATCTCGTCGGGGTTGGAATCCCTGAGGGAGGGCTCTCGGGACTGAATGATGTGGACCACCCGGCCCAGCTTCTCCCCAGGCAGGCGGTTGATGTCCAAGCTGAGCTGGCGCTTCTCATCGTAGGTCATAGGAAGGCCCTCCTCCTCCTCCTCTGAGTCGTAGGTCGCCGAGGCCTGCTTCCCGGCTTTCTTCGGCTGCCTGGGGAGAGGAGGGAGAAGTCAAGGCCTGGCAGCTCAGAGTTCAGCCGGCCCCCAGCAAAGCCCCTTTTGAAACCCGGGCTTCTTCCGCCCCGGAGGCTCGCCACCCAGGATCTGACAGCATCTGCCGAGCCTGGCGCCCTGAGGTGGGTGGGCCGGCTCTTGGCAGGGAGCGCATTGCTGGGGATGCAGAATGTTGTGGGCAGAGGCTCCGCGCACCCGGTCCTAAGGACTGGATTGGGCTGGCTAGGCAGCGCCTCTCGCACCCTCCACCCTGTCCATGCCAGAAATGCCACTGCCCCTTTCAGCTCTGGCATCCCCTTCCAAAACCGTCATGGAACCTCACAATGTCACAATCCACTTTGTGAAAGCCAGCTGCATCGCTTGCCATGATACCTGGGCGCTCCCCCCTTGCCTGCCTGCCAGCCACAGCGCTTGCCACCATCAGGCAGCTGTTCTCCAGAGTTCCCGCTCTTCCTGCAGCCCCAGCCCCCCGGGCCCCTCACCTGTTGGTGGGGACCGCACTGTTGGCCTTCTTGGCTGGTGCTTTCTTTTGCTGGGGCGCTTTCGCTGGCGGGGCTGTCCTCGCTTTCTTCTCCTCCTCGGCTTTTGCCTTGTGCTTTTCCTTTTCCTTCTCCTTCTCTTTCTCCTTGTCCTTCCTCTTCTTCTCTTTTTCCTTCTTCTCCTTCTTCTTCTTTGGCTTGTTCACCGGCGCTTGCGAGAGGGCAGCTAGCTGCTCGTGGACGGCCTTGAGCTGGCAGGGAAGACGGAGGGCAGAAGCTCAGCTGGCCGCCGCCGGCCCCCGGCCCCGCTCAACCCCAGCAAGCCCCGGGCCTCCAAAAGACGGCAGGGAGGCAGGCCCAGGGGAAAACCTGCCCCGTCTGCCAGCTCCAAGGCTGCTGGTTTCCATCCGCCCCCCAACTGTGGCCTTGACCTCAGATGCCCCCCCAATGTCGCGTATGAAATGCTCTTGGGACAAGCAGCTCCCAGCCTTCCAGGCTGCCAGGCATGTCCGTCTCACCCGAGACCTCAGACCGGGCTGCAACGGGGCTGGGAAAAGCCAGCTCCCAGCCACGCCCTTAATGTGCTGCATGCACAAGGCTCTCCCATTGCACCACAGGACAGCTTACTTGCTGGAGCACTGCATGGGAGGCGAACACAGCAACAGCGCATTTTTTAACCTGGGCCGAAGACTCACCACAGGGTGTGAGCCAAGTGGCAAGTGGGACTGTGGGAAAAAGTCGATTTCATTTCATTTCATTTGTTTTAAAGTGGTTCTTGATGGTTTTATATGTTTCTGTATTGTTTTTAACTTTTTTTTATTGGACTGCTGTTTTTTGACTGTTGTGAGCTGCCCAGAGTCACTTAGGTGAGATGGGCGGCCGTACAAATCAAATCGAATCGTAAACATATTTAAGCAAGTTAAAATTCAATCCAGCTTAAAGGATTCCTCTTCCATCAAGGATCTAAGGATGGTCCCCTTCAGTCATGGCCTGTAACTGTATTTCTTCCTAGCCTGGGGACAAGCCCAGGATGCCTGCAGCACCGGGCCTCCCCTGCGGAGCATCCCTTCGCGCAGGCACCTTTTCCCCTTGAGGCAAAGAGGGAAGCGCACAGCTCACAGGTGCTGGAGGAGGTGCTCACTTTCACAAACTGCCCCATGCGTTGGGGGGCTGGCCCAGCCCACAGGGAACAGAATGCCGGGCAGAACACAGGAGGTTCTTTGGCCCCGGCAGCCCAGGTGCCAGCCTTTTCTTACCGCAATCCCTTTTTTCTTTACCCAGAGATGCAGTTTCCCCACTCAGAGCCAGAAGCGAGGCTGAGGTCATGGACACAGATAAGCCCTGCATCCTGGGTGGATGAATTTGGACTCCCCATACTGGAGTCTGGAAAAGTGGGCCTTGTTTGGAACAGGAAAGGCACAGGCCTGTCAAGCCAGCCTCCAAAGACCAAGCCAGCCACCATCCTGGCCCACTGCTGTGGAAGTCTTGCTAAAAGGAGAGTCTTTTGCAGAGGATGGAGTGCGAGGTTGCCAACTTTTTCCCATCTCAGCTCCTGTGCACTTAAGAGCCATCTGACGTGCATGAGGATGAAGTGATGGGAGAACTAGTCTTAAAGGCCCCGGAACCAGTGATGACCAGTTAACGAAGGAACCTGGGTTCAAATCCTCATTCAGCAATGATACTCACCAGCAGCCGTGACAAGTTGACCTCTTGGTCTACCTGACAGGGCTACGTGTGGATGCCACAGTGCTTATGAACACTATGGGAGAAGGACCCGACCCTCCGAGGGAGTCCTGCCCTTCAGTTCCCTTTCCCCGAGATCCCCTAGCAAAAGCTCTTCATGGCTCCCCCCACCTCAAGCTTCCAATTAAAATCCAGCCTGAAATTGGCAGACGTGGTCCCCTTTAGAGTCATTCCATTCCTTTGCTTTTGGATGAACTGTTTTAATTCAGCCCAACTCCAAAGTCTGGATGGAACAGAAACTGAAAAATAAAACAGCTGCTACACATATAAATGGATCAAACAAGGATAAGGTATGAAGGTGCAATACTGAGGCCTGACATCCAGCCAAACCTGTGGATTTCCCCACAGGAGAGAGGAGTGAAGTATCACTAAGTTTATTCCCCATATTCATGAGGACTAGACACTTGTTCACTGAAAACTAAAGCTGAGATTCTCAGGAAATCTGGTGGCAATACCAGGCATCCTCAAGGGGCAAAAGTTGCGCCAGGAGCAGCAGCAGCAGCAGCAGCAGCAGCAGCCACTGCCATCCTGCAAGGGGTTATGCGTTTGGCACGGCCGCTCCCAGCAACACCCCTGGAGGAGGGCTGCAACGGGGGATGGTTGGCCATCATGAATCCTTCCCCTAACGCCCGAGGTGTGGTGGGCACAGGGCAGCCACTGGGCAAGCCCTGGACCCCAGCAAAGAACTCGGGCCTGGATTTGACACAGAACTCTCCTGGCACTAGAAGACACGTCCTGTGTGCCAAGCCAGGTCAAGAGGGAGCCCCGCCCCAGCCCAGGGCAGCCCACTCCCCTCCTCTTTCAATGAGAGACTTGCCCGAACTGTCAACTTTTACAGCCCTCCTACCCGCCTGGCCCACAACATGGGGGAGGCACTCCCAATTCACAGCACAACAACCTCCACTGCCCTCCGGGGGGGGGGACAGCAGCCGAGCCCTCCACAGAAGAGCCAGATGGGATTCTGCAAGGAGCAGCTGGTCGGGGAGGAAGAGAATTGGCTCCCGCAAAGTCCCCCTTGGTTCCAGCCTGTGGCAGGAACCGGGCCGCCTCCCTGCCCCCTCACCTGCCTTCTTTCCATCTGGGCCCATGACACAGCAGTAGCCCAATGGCTACCCACAAAGCTGTCCTGAGCCAGCACAACTGAGGCACCAATTGCTTAGATGAAGGATTTCTGAGCCCTTATGAACTTTACTTATCTGCACAATACAGTAGGGAAACCATTTTTAAAAAAGGAGAAAAAAAAGTAAAAAAATAAACAAATACATTCCATCCATTCCAGTCTCGGGAGTCAATGACCTTGTAGCACTGCCTCAATGATCGGGAACAGTCCTGTGTGAACAAGAAGACAGGCAGGGAAGCAAATCGGGTGTCCACACTGCACCCTGAGTCAGTGGGGAAAGGGGGGATCCACAGAAGCACACTCTGGTCTCTTGGGGAAGCCTGGGACATGTTTGGTCTTTGGTTTCAAGTGCCAAGTTTCTAGTCCTCACCATGACAAACATATGAAAAAGGAGGGCAGTTGCTGTTCTACTACCAGTCACAGAGTAGGCATGTGAGTTATTTTATGCAACCACCAAGAAGCTGCTGCTGACCCATGCTCCGCATGGAGGTGCCAACGTGGCTGAATGCCCTCCCCAGGGAGATGAGCCCCAGCAGGTGCCATGCGGATCTCTGGGAGGCTTTTTGGCCTTATTTGCTCAGTCTTTTCATTATGTTCATGTTTTTCTCAGCTCGGCATGGCGGCCTTGTCCTTTTTTGCCTGTCTGAATGTCTTTCTCAGCTACTTGGTGGCTTTATACAGAAAGTGGGACTTGCTGATCAGTCCAAGGCCCTCAGGTCTTCAGCTGGGGCCAGGATGAGCATCTCTGGAAGGACGCCCTGCCTCCGAGTTGGGAAGTCTCGTGCCCGTGACTCTCGCTGAGTCTCTCTTGGGCTGCCAGCGGTCCCTAAAGGCAGCCTGGGCCGGGGCCAGACTTGGCTCATTCGTGGGCATTTAGCCCGCAAACCGGGCCGAAGAAAGGGCTGCCACCCACCTGCTCCTGGAGCTCTGCCAGCCGCGTGGCCCGCTCCTCTTCCGAGTCCGAGCTGTCGGAATCCGACGAGCTGCCTTCGCTGCTGTGGCTGCTCTCCGTGCTTTTGCTGACCACGGGGGCAGTGGGCGGAGGGGGCGGTGGAGGATCCGCGGGCTCGTCCGGCATCTTGGCAAATCGCATCTCAAAGACATCCTGTGGGAAGAGCGAGGTTTGGAGAGGAGCCCAAAGGTGCCCCAGAGCAGGTAGCCCCCTGCCAGGGTGTCTGGGAGACCCTCAGAAGGAGGCATCCTCTGCTGCTTCTCTGCAGAGTTCACGGGAAGAGGACACCGCACACACATCAAAGACATGCCCTCCACAGCTTAGGACTCTTCAAATGCTGGGACAAGTACCAGAATGTCCATCCAGCACCAGAAAGGAGTACACTGGCTGGGAATTCTGGGAGATGTAGTCCCAACATAACTGGAACAAATTCCAAGTTTGGGCCAGTTGCCCGTGGCCTCATATAGCCTCCTCCAGAAACACTGAGAGACCTCAGGCGTCCTTCATGTAACAAGACCAACCAGAAGGTCCTCGACCACAGGAGGAGAAGGAACTGCCCTGGGTGGACAATCTTCGGCGATAAAGAGAAGGAGGGGACCAAGCCAGGGTCCTGCCTAAGGAGTGCCTGCGAAGCGTCCCCCTTCCCCTGACTCCCCCGAGCAAGCCCTGACATGCAGCGGGGAGAGGGCTGAGGAAGACAGTCAGGGTAAACTGTACTTCCTTGGACAGTAAATGCAACCCTGACCCAATGAACAAGCAGAGCAAATGTAGCAGAATAAGTTATATGTAACATGTGCAAATGTGTACAACTGTACCCAAATTTCTCACTTTGCATAAAATGTACATGCCATTTACAGAATTCATTGCTCGAGAGGAACTTTTTAGAGATTTGAAACTGCAGAATCTACCCATTTCTGGATAAAACTTAGCAGCTTGGTTTCTCAGACTTGGATAAGCATGTCTTGACTTAAAAATGCAGTTAGGAGCTCCTGAGGGGCTGGAGCGAGAGGCCAAAGATGCATTTCAAGGCATCTTGACCAAACTGTAATTAGTGATTAAGTAACTGTGCCAATTTAAAATCAGGAGCAAAGCTGTGCTATTAAAACTTTTCATGTTTAAGACCAGCCCCGGTCATGATTTAATTTAATTCAGAGTAGAGGGAAAGAGCAGTTAGTCTCAATTTTGAGAACACACAGTTGAATATTATGAATATTTTGTGACGATAGTTATGAACCTCTGAGGTGGCCCCCGCAAGTGGCTGCAGAAAGCCAGCAGGAGGCTGCAGCCAGAAGAGGCTGCAGCTTCTCACGCAGGGGGTGCAGTGGGCCAAGAGGCCAGAGTGCCAGTGGGGCAACCCTGACTAAGGCAGCTAATGCAGCCTCCTCAAGAGAGAGATGAAGATTTAAAGACTGCTGGATCGAGATTAGCAGGCAATGAGGTGGCCTGTTGCATCTCTGCAGTAGTCCCTGCTCTGGACCTGCCTCCTTGCACACAGTGGCAGAACTGACCAAATCATAAGAGGGGATCAGAAGTCATTTCCTGAAGCCACTGACTTACTGCTGGCAACGGCAGGCTGTCCTGTTTGGTTCTATGCTTCCTTTTTTCTTCTCGGCAGGAACCACCTTACCTGCAGCTTCCTTGCCATGGCCACAACTTCATGGTCAGGTGGGTTGTACTTGTAGCAATTAGAGAACATTAACCGAATATCCGCTGCAAAGCCTTGGGCGTCTTGATAGTCTCGGCTGTCCATTTTTTTCTGCATAGGAACCCGGAAAGGGAACAGGATTAGATGGAAAGGCGGGAGGAAGGAAAAACCCATCAGTATAAACAGAAGACATGGGCCACTCCAGGATTGTTTAAAAGGAAAGAAGTGGGCAAGAAAATGTCCCTAAAGCTATGCTGGTCACCCACCTACCTACCCTTAAAGCCCCCCTGAGAAGTCACAGACAGACCAGTCAAGGAGTTGCACGTGCAAAGTCTGAAAAAATGCTGAAGGCGTAAATTGGTGAGATGTGCAGAAGCACAGAAAAGTCACCAGACTCAGCCAGGACACGGTTTTCGTCCAAGGAGAAGCGGACTTGTCCTGAAAGAGGGCCTAGAGCAGGCCTCCAAGGCAGATGGCAGCAGGTCGGAGCCCCTACGCTGGCACTGGATCACGGCCCCCCATCCCCCAGAGCAATCCCAGACCTCCAGCCAGAGCTCAGAATAGCAACAGATAATTACTCTGGCCCCGTTTGTTTCCCGCATGGATTCCAACGCGGCTTTGCTCTGGACATGTGAACGGCAACAAGACCCTCCCCAACACACACAGTGCCTGGGCCTTGCTGCCAGCTGAGCCCATCAGGACCAGGGGAGCGGGGAGATGCTCCTTCTGCCCTGCAGGAAGGAGGCACAGCTTTCTCTGCAGCAGCACGCTGGCTCTCCCCTCTCAGGCTGGAAGGAAGCAATGCGGGGGATGCCTGTGGAAGGCCCTTTGCGACAAGAGGCCCTGAAGGCTCTATTCTCTGGTACCCACACCCTGGTCACCTCCCGGATGGATTACTGTAGCACGCTTTACACGGGGCTGCCCTTGAAAAGCATCCAGAACTGGTGCAAAATGGGGCAGTATGGGCAGTTAAGGGTGCCCCAAGATTAGCACACGTTATACCTGTGTTCCACAAGCTGCATTGGTTACCGGTTTGCTTCCCAATTCAATTCAGGGTGCTGGTTACGACCTATAGAGCCCTACACGGCATGGGACTGGGTTATCTGAGGGACTGCCTCAGATTACATCTGCCCGCCCCACCAGATCCCACAGAAGGGGCATGTTGCGGGTCCCATCTACAAAGGGGTTCCATCTGACGGGACCAGGAGGAGAGCCTTTTCTGCTGTGGCACCCCCCCCCCGGAACACCATTCCCCCTGAGGTTAGACTAGCCCCAAACTTGTTGGCCTTTAGGAAGGGCCTGAAGACATGGCTGTCCATCAGGCCTGGGGTCCCGTGGACCTACTGTCTGTGAGCTGTGGCTGGCACTCTCCCGTGCTGTTTTTTGGTTGTTTTAATTGTTTTTAATTTTATTTATACAACTTTGTTTTTTGCTGTTTTAACATGCAAGCTGCCCAGAGTCACGTGAGCGAGATGGGCAGCCATATAAATGGAAATAAATAAATAAGGCCACAGCCAGCTCAGCCTGGGCTGTCCTTCCCAAGCCCCCAGGGCAGGGCAGTCCCACTGGCACACTGTTCTCCCCCTCGCCCTGGAGGAAGGGGAGGCAGGAAGGAGCCTCCTGAGGGCTCCAAGGGTAGCACTGGCCCCAGGCCTGGCAGGTCAAGGTGGGGCTCCTCCCTGTGGGAGGCCAGCACCCTGCCTGCCTCTTCCTGAACCTTTCCCCAGCCATTTAGCCTTTTGGGGTCTCCCTGGAGAGCGGCCAGCAGAGGGGCAGAGTGGAGGTGGGTTGGCCTGGCTCGGCGCAAAGAGGTGGCAGCAGCTACAGCATCCTGACAGAGGGAGTCCAGGGGGTGGACCGGATCCAACTTATTGGGGCCACAACTCACAGAGGAGTCCAAGCACTGCTTCTGTTTTTTTGTCCTTGGGCACAGGTGCTGTGATCTGGAGCTGGGGGATGTTACCATCAGTCCGTTGCCATGGACAGGTCATGTCCTCTTGGCCCTGGGGTTCTCTGGGGCTGCTCCCCACTGCGGGGGGGGGGTTTTTCCAGGGGGGGTTCATAGGGAAATTTGTGGTCTTCCTGAAGGTCTGGTTCATGGTTTGGCTGGGGG